AAAAGTTGTCCTTAATGTTCAGTCTGCTCCCAATTTCCTGCTGGTAACACCTGAATATCCCCTCTGAGTGATGATAGAGCATGTTTTTATTTCTATTCTATTCTAATACAGTGAAGAGAAAAGCATTTTTTTTTCTTTTGTGCATTTGTGAGACAATACTGTTTTATCTCATCAAACTAATTTAAATGTCAAACGAAGATAAGAAAACACCAGATGTGGGGTTTAGAGAGGGGAGCTGCATGCAGATTTCTCTTGAGCAATCTGTCGTCGGTCGAAGAGATGGCTGATGTTCTCAGGCTTCTATCTTCATCTGATGTGCATTGTTGCCCATTCTGAACAAAGCACTGTGGCATTAAAGCGTGAAATCCGTCGACTGGCTTTACACGTAGCTGCTGTATTTATTGTTTCGTGGATGCTTTGAGGTTTTTCTCCTAGGTTAAACAGTTTTAAGTGGTTTCAAAATGTTTAATTGCTGAACAAACCTCTGTCGCCTCATGACACAGTGAACTTATGTGTTTTTTGCTGCGTTCGTAGGCGTGTTACTTTAACCTGGAGGCTTTTTTTCCCCAGAGGCAGGAGGAATAAAATCCAACAACGAAAGACGGAACAAAATAATAACATAATAAGCTGTTATTAAGAAGATGACAATGTGAGAGCTGTAGTTTTAATCGGTGGAGTCTCGACGTTTGTGTAAAGTGTATATTTTCTATTGAGCAACTGGCTGAAATAGACCGATACATCGGTTTGCTGATATATTGCTGGTCGACATCGGTGTTTTTTTTGTATCGTTGCTCGCTGATACATGCGTGCCTTAAGCGGCCATACCTAAAGATTATGTTATCACTTAATTGAAGTAGGGGTGAGCATTTATCGAATCGCTTATCGTTATACGATTTATCGTCCACTCAACAAATTACGATGAGTGATGATAAAAAGCTAACCAAAAAAAAGGGTAAAATGTTGCATTTTTCTTTTCCTTTTTTTTTTACATTGGAGCTTTGGAAAATTCGAAGAATATAATTGAATGTGGCAACTATAGAAATGACACTTTCTTTATGTAAATGGTATCTTTAAGAAGCCTATTTTTGTATTTTTTCAAACAGTGTATTTCGAAAATCATCAGTTTTATCATTATAACTATAGTAGGGTTTTTAGGGATTTTAAGACCATATCACCCAGCCGTTGGCAGCACGGTTTGTCGAAAGAGTCTGCATCAGCCTTCAAAGATCAGCATCAGTCGATCTCTGAGTTTCTGTAGCATGTGTAGGCATGTCACTCCGGTCTGTTGGCCTGGTTTCTTTAGGCAGGAGGAATTTAATTTCAACAACGAAACAGAGAGAAACTGTAAGTGAAAATAAGATAAGAACCTGTTAAGGAAATTAGGTTGCCTGGTGGGGGGTGAACGGTGTTTGGATGCATCTCTTCATATGACCCCTCCGATTTCACAGGAATAAAACCTTTTGTACCAATATTTTCTCATTTGTGTTGAATAAATATTATATGAAAATTCAACTAAACCATTTAAGGTGAATTTTAAAATCTGTTTATTTCATTTCACTCTGAATCTAGGAATTTTACCTTCTTTATTATTAGAAATTGCCAATATGGCTCTTGTTTATAGCATCTCGGCCGCTAAAGAAGTGTTGCTGGTTCTGGCATTTAGAGTAGCCTGAGTCCTCTCAGCTGGGTCAGATATGGTCCAGATATGCAGAACACTTCTCACACTGACCTGTTACTTCATATGGGTCTTAGGATGCCCCAGGCCTTTCAGCTCAACAACAAAGCACCGGATGTCATTCCCATGTTCACTCAATGTGCTTCAGTAATTAAAATGAACTCCTTCTTGGTGTTCTGCAACTCCTTTCAGTCTTTTATTGCTGTTTTTGGGGATTGGCCGTCCATGTGTCACATGTCAGACCTGTCCTACTTGTTTTTAGAGATTCCAAGACATTACGGTCAATAACCTTAGTATGTCAAAAGGATTTTCCCTTTTGTGCAGAAGAGTCTGGTTGTATCTATGAGACTTTAGCATCCCAGCTGAACCAATCCGGTCTCTCTGTTAGATGTGTTATTTGTTGAGCTCCTAAATTTGCTTTCCCAAAAATTATGTTTAAGGTGAGTTTTGTTGGTCACCTATTAATCCAGAACTTTCCCGGTCCTAGCTTAATGCTCTTAAAGCAGACTATATCCCATTAAAGTCCAACACATTCAGAATATGCTCCACATTTTAAACTGTGGCGCAGATGGGCTACAGCACCGCACCTACTGTTTGCCAAGAACATCACTCTAAGGCCCCAAGTCACATGCTCACCGTAGTTGCAGAACAACAGATTAAATCATCTTAAACTTGCTGTTTGAACATCAAAATAGAGCAGTTACCTCACAGTAAGAACACATTACTGCAGAGGTCTTCAACAGGGGGTCCGCGACCCCTAGGGGGTCCGCGGAGGTACTGCATGGGGGTCGCGAAAGTCTTGGTTGATTACTTTTTTTAATATTCCCTCCTGCAATTTTTTTGCACTAATTAAAATGTCTTTAAATCCACATTAACATGAATTCAACACACTGTAGTAAACAGATAAATGAAAGCAGAAGATGTCCTTCAGTCATCAATGCACACATTCAGCGACACACAGGAGCTCTTTAAAACCTGGGCACCGTTTCATTCACAACACCTGTCCCATCAACCAGGAATCAGAATCAGAAATACTTTAATAATCCCAGGGAGAAATTACTTTCGTTTGATATAACACAATTTCATACAATATATATAATTAGGGGGTCCCCGCTCCATCTCGCAATCAGTTTGGGGGTCCTTGGCCTCGAAAACGTTGAAGACCCCTGCCTTAATGCAAAGGAGCTCGTTTTTGATGGCCGATTACCACCATGAATAAGCAACAGACATCTCTGCACCAACTGCTTGATGCCATCATGACATAAAGAACCACCATCACCATCTCTGGGGAACCGTGTCGACACCTTGCTCAATGTAGGCCAGCCTCCCCGTCGGACTGTAATCAGTCACCTATCCCTCTCACAATCATTAACCGGCGCCGGCTGTGCTTGGTCTTAAACTGAGTCGATCCATACAGGTTTACAGCTCCTTCATTGATCCACACCTGTGTGACAAAGGAGTGTATTCATCAGCTGACTCAGTGTCTAAACAGGGGAAAAGAGCAGTTGGGTTCTGCTGGACTCGGACCTTTTTGCACAGTTGTGGCAGACTTCTACAAACTGGCTTTCTTTCTCTGAAGTACCCATCTCTATTTTGCAGCAATCTGCTCACTAACCCCCCATTTAAAACCTTTTAGAGCAACTTAAGTTATTAATCTGTGGAGGCTTTAGGTTTCATACCTGTTTCTGGGTGTGTTAGATCACATGTGTGCGTAATGAGCCCTCTGTTTGTTAAAGCTGGCACTTCTGTTTGACTGCTTCTTCGCTGCTTGGCCTGTTTGGGCAGCCTTTATGCACTGTTAGACCTGAGCGGAATGCTAATCAGGTGTTTTCTTCATTTCTTTTCAACAAGCCCTGCAGGACTTTAGGAAAGTAGTTCTAAAACAGCTAGAGGAAATTTACAACCCTCTAACGAATGATTTCGCTTTCTAGTCTGATATAATAGAAATGTTTTATGAAACAGGTCAGTAGGTCAAAGACAAGCTGACTATCATTCCTCTTAGATGTTATAGGTGTTTTATGATGATTTTGAAGTCTTGGAAATAGTAAAGGGTTACAGGTTGTAGCTTTGCTCTCAGTAATATGTCCTGCTGGGCTTCTTGCCCAGGATCTCATCAGTGGGCATTAAAGTCTGTCGAACTGGCAAACACGACAACAAAGTTAACCTTTTGTGACTTTGGTACTGGAAACGCAGATGTTGTAATCGTTTTAACTAATGCACTGCAGTCCTGAAGCATTACGACAGGGTTGACATTTGTTTAATCGGAAACATTTAGTCCAGGTTTGTGGAACTGCTCCCCTCAGACCATCAGGTCTTAAAGCCTGGTCCATGAAATAATTGACAGAAAAATCTATTTTGTATTTAAAAATTAGATTTTTCACTGAACTTTCTCAGAACTGAATAAAAAAGAAAACATACATTTTTAAGTTAAATTAGATCTTTTATTTACGTCCATTTCTGTATAATCTGTTATGTGTTTCCTGTTCACTACGTGTCTGAATGTCTAAGTCAAGGTTTCAAGAACAAAAATATCTCACTCATGTATCAAGTATGATACACTTCACTTTAAAGAGCTAAGTGTATTTACTGCAACCGACTAGTTGTGCAGCCAGATGAAGATTTGCTGCTTCAATCTCGTTCCTGTTGACCTTTTGGCTTCTTTACCTCATTCCTCAGCACTGTGCATTTGTCTGATGCTGGAGCTTCTGCCATAAAAACAAAAGAAATACAGCCTTTTCTTCTGTATCATCCTCTATGCTCCAGACTCCCACTATCCCTCCTTCACATCTCCAGTTTCTCCATCAAAATATGTATAGAAATGTCCCAGAAATAAGTTACATCTCTCAGGAGGTCAGATCTAGACAACAGTGTTTAAAGATTGTTGAGAAGAATGTAATTTACGGCATCCACTTTAAAGCAATGCCCAGCTGCAGCAAGTTAATGATACCGACTGAATAATCTAGTTTATAGCTGACAGCTTTAGTTTAAGAATTTAATAAACTGGCTGAGGCTATTCAACAATAAATAGAATAGTTCAAAAAATAGTTTATTTAGATTATTTTGTTAACTCAGAGATCTGGTTTAGGATTGAAAGGATGAGACTCTGGAAACCAGTAGCTGAAATGAGCTTTCTCTGTAGGGTTGCCAGGCTCTGCCTGAGGGAAAAGGTGAATAACTAAATAAAGTGGGGGGGCCTTGCAGTAGGGTAGATGTAGTGGATGTGTTAAAGAGGCAGGATGAGTTTTTGTGTTGGGAGGAAAATTAGCTAAATACACAAAAATGGAGGGTTTGCTTTGACCTCTTGCTTGTTTTCTTCTGCCCTCAGCTGGACCTCAGCCAGCCTCTGGAGGACCAGGGTCCGCTGGACCTCATCATCCACAAACTGACCGACCTCATCCTGGAAGCGGACCAGAACGACTCACAAGCCGTGCTGCAGGTCCAGAGAGTACAGGTACAGATTCAGGGCAGAGTTTTTACTTCTTTGGAGAATTCACAAATCCATTGACGCAAAAAGAAGTAAAAAAAAAAAAGGATGACACGGATTACTGCTTTTGTTTTTCTGAACAGATGAAGGTTGATGGTTAACAGGACTTAAACTTTTGAGAATAAACGTCAGCACACACACGGTGATCACCAAAGCCTCACCATTGATTTGATGGAAGTCTCACTCTATTCTTGCAATAAAAGCTAAAGTTGGCTCTTGAGGATATGACATCATCTGAAGCTGTCCAGCAGGACTCTCTGTTGGGGTCTCGGGGTGTTGGTGACCATGTGGACAGAGGGATAGAGCAGTCTGACAAAGGCTGCCGACAAATAGAGCAACTGAGATGCAATGAAAGAAGAAAAATTAATTTTAATTAGAATCTGTTCCCAGTTTGAATAATTTAACCTTCAGGGTCTCTAAAACATAAACAGGATTCATATCCTGATCCGAGATCTGTTTATTTGTTCTTCTTCTCTCCTGACTGCTGAAAAGTCAGCAGATGATCTACGGCGTGATGCTGTCCTGGATACTCGGAGCGTAACAGTGCTTCCACTGAGCCATGATCAGAATAAACATGGGCGCCTGCAGGTCTGAGGAATCCAAACTCCTCAGGTGATGTGGCGACGTGGAGTGGTCGTGAGACCCAGCTGTTTAACGATTCGCTGCCAGTCTGTCGTAGCTTTGCCAGAGACGTAAACACTGATGAGGCGGATATTTTCAGTCCCAGTTGGAGGAATCAAACCGGCTTTATGAACAGCGGCATCATCAGCGGAACCCTTGACTACATGACTCAGTAAACCTGGAAGTCTGAGGCGAGGCTCCGCCCACTGGGATACTATCTGCTGTTTGTGTTTCTTAAGCTGGCCTTGCAGCAGATGGTGTAAAATGGATTTATTGCTCCGACTTTGACCCAGTTGCTCTGTCTGGTTCAAAGGAAATAGAATCATGATCATCAGGATGTTACCGGTTCTCCTGACCCCATCAGTATGACAAACAGGAAATCAGAGTGACTGTGATTAGTGGGTGGGCTGCAGACTGAAGGGATTAGGGTTGGTTTGATATCGAGCTTCGGAGTGTAATGACCGAACGGTTGGCTGTAAATGCTGATTGAAATGGTGCAACACTTTTTGTCTTGTTAGGAGGCCTTTCTATCAGAGCAGCATCAGGTGGAGTGAAACCTGGTTTTGTTATGTGTTTACAGATCTGTGTGAATTATAACCTTTGGATCCTTTCTTCTTATTATAAAGCAGCTTTGATTATAATGAATCTCTGTGCTGCAGAGGAAGAAGGTCTCCTCTCTATTATAGGTCTCTGGTTAAAACAAACTGTCATGGTTGGATCCTCTGCTGTGATTCAGGGGTTGGAGCTGCTCTCAGTGTTACAGATGAATGCTGTTTGCAGATCATGGAAGCTTTAATGAAAGAACTAAGCGTGAACCTGCTGAAGAATCATTTCCACAAACATAAGCAGTGTTCTGGTGGATTTACACCCTGGTGATAAATCCGAACACACGAGGAGTCGGTGGATCCAAATGCTGAATTATGTTCTAATGTATTTTATGTCTTGAAGCCATTTGATCTGTACTAATCGGCTCCAGAATTGAGCAACATGTGCAGGCGTCTCTTGTACGCCCACGCTAACATGCGTCTGGCTCATCACCTGCTGAAGAGCCTTTTGTCTCTCACTTCCCCCTCTCTTCTCTGTACTTCTAAGGTCTCAAATGGTCGGCCTAATCATCGCATTTTTATCAACGCTGATGGGTTAAGTCAGCATTGTTTGATGCGTCTTCGACTTGCAAAACAGTTCATCTAGCTTTGATCAGCTTCCTGTTAGCTTGGGGTAAATCTTGCAGATGGTACCCTGATGGGCGCCTGCCTCAATGCTTTTCTCCATTTCAATATTTGCTTAAGGTATTTTTTTGCATGTGCTTAATTCTATAAGCCATATAAGATTTTGTCTCTGTTAAATTAAGGAAATAAAGTGCTATTCTATTGTAAATGTCTGTAATGTGCAGAAACAGGCTGCACTACAAACATTTAAATATAAATAGGTCATTTCTATTCAAATTGAATGCATTTTTTCTGGATTTAATCAGGAAAGTAAAACAATTTGTTAACTGAATATGATTTAAGTTTATTTATTTATGTTATTTCAAGTGCATGATGGATATTTTATTTTAATGGCAAAAATTTCATCTTATTTACCTGCTCAAATGACTCGCAGATGTTCTTTACTTATTGAGATCACTTTTGTCTTGTGACATCTGACGACGGATGGGAGTCAGAAGGGATTCCTCTAAAGTACCAGCAAGCAGGCAAATTTGTTGAAGGCGAAGAGCGTGGAGGGAGCGTGCAGACCAAGCGAGCAGAGAGTAAAAAACAGATGGCAGGATGGGAGAAAGAGTGTGTGTGGTTATGTAAAACAGGCAACCTCATGCTGACCGAGCAGTCGGCAGACAGCAATGCGGTGATGTAACCTCCAAAGAGCTGCTGGCATACATTAAACCATCCGTCAAACACAGGCCGAGACAAATCCACAGTCTGATTCAGTTTTTTCTGCCCTGCAGACATAATTCTGTTTAACAAATCTGTGGCTGTAGATCCACGGAGGGCAGACAGCTTTTTATCGCCATGATCGTTCTCTGCTTCTGGATGACCCTACTGCAGATGTGGTGGAACGGGTTTTAAAACACATTGGAGCCTCTCGCATGCCTGACCTCAATAGGACAAAAGGTGGAACCTGGAGCTTTTACAAGAATACCGAAATGTCGCAAGGCTTCGAATAAAACTTGAAAGCAATTAAAGCTAAACTATTTTTCAGGGCACAGAAACCTTCTGATTATCTCTGCCAGTCGCAGCTGATTTAATCCCTTGTGAAAGGCTGTGGTGTAACCTGTCTGTGAGTTTTTGCTGCCAGAGAGAAAAGCTGAAAACCCGTCATAAAACAAGCTCCAACTCATAGTGATCTTTTCTTTTTTTCTTATTAAATCGTTTGCTTCACCGCAAACCTATGATTTCATACTGTGGATATTAGCCTCTGCCAGCAGACTTTAACAAGATTTTTCCTGCTATGTCTGAGATTTTGATGATGATGATGATGATTTTTAAAATCATTAGAGGAGCTTAAATGGTTTTTTTTTTCTTCTTCATTTTCAGGACTACATCGATGCTCACCCTGAGACCGTGGTCCTGGACCCGCTACCAGCCATCCGAACTCTGCTGGACCGCTGCAAGTCCTATCAGCTCGTTCACAGAATAGAAAGGTGTATGCAAGGTGAGTGAGCTGCTGGTTGGCCAGTGACTCTCCCATGACTGCATCGTCGAGTCAGAGGAGGTTGTTAAACAGTATAATGAGTAAATTTATTGTTTGATGAGGGAAGTTATGCAGATGCCTGAACAAAGTGAAGGAAGCTCTGACATAATCTATCCTGCACCATCAGGGTGTGTTTATTATATACACACTATAAACCTATAAAACATTTGTCCTTGCTGTTTTTTTTCTTGTTTTAAGTCGGTTGTGTTTACTGAAATAATTTCTGTTTCTAAATGATGAGAGAGTTCGGGAATGTATTTACATTTTCTAAACATTCAGTGGAAATGTACTTAGACATAACATTTTGGGTATTCTTCTACAAGTTTCTCACAATATTTGGCCCATTCCCTTTTGACAGAACTGGTTTAACTGGGTCAGGTCGGTGATGGTCACTCTAAAACACTGACTTTGTTGCCACCTTCTAACAAATCCAGTGCTAAATGCCGGTGGTCAGTGGTTATTGTATTGTCCCCATTAAGAAATAAAGCCGTAAAACCAAATAGTTCACACATGGACTACTTAGGAAGAGAAGAGCAGTGACATGGCCAGTCAACATGGCCCATAGGCTCCATGAAATCTTACAAGGGCTGCAACAAGCGATTATTTTGCAAATCAATTAATCTAAAGATAATTTTTTCGATTAATAATCGAATAGCTAAAGGTTCCTTAAAGAGGACTTTTTACAAAATCAAACCAAGTGAAACAAAAACTTTTTTTAATCTTAAATGCAAAATGTTCATAAATGTTTTTACAACTTTGATATAATCACTGCTCTAAATAAGTTGCTATGTCAACTAAAGGAATGTTTTGCAGTATACTCCAGATAATGATTAATTGATTACTAAATTAGGTGGTGATTATTAAAGTTATTGATTAATCATGATTAATCCGATTAATTGTTTTATCCCTTTTTTACCTTAACCCAGTTACCAGGTTTGATTTTATCACCCAGAGACAGACCCCTCATAAATTAGTAGAAATCTATGATGTAATTTAACTTTTATTTATAAAAAAAAAAAAGGTGTTTCGAATGACACATAAAAAAACTCAACATTTCCTTAGCAACTGGTTTTTATAATTTTTGTAACAGCAGCAAGATGTGGGCACGGGATCAGCAAGCGCAGCCCCTAATTTTAGCATTCGGCTATCCACCAGTTCAAGCTGGCACCATTCGCTGCCCACAGAGCAGGATGGGAGGATGACTTCCTAAAGCCAGCGTCCAGGTCCTTGGTTTTCATGCTGCTCGTCTTTAAAAGAGTCGTCGAACCAAGGAGCCAAAGTTTTAACTTTATCACTGATGTGTTTAGAATGTAGCTTAAGTGTTCACAAAGCTTTTGTGAAGTGCAACAGTTTTACCCCAACAGCATGATGCTGCCGCCACTGTGCTTTCCAGTTAGGATAATGTTGAAAGGGAAGGAAGTTTCCTCCAAGGTTAACCCAGTTTTGTGAAGGTCCAGAACTCTCTTCTTTCATTTATTTATTTCTTGTGTGTTTTAGAGTGTGTGCTGGTGAAGATTCTCAGTCCTTCGGGTCATAGTCATTCCAAAAAAAAGTTAAAAACAAACCACTGGACTTTGTTTTCCAAGTTTTAAGACATTTGGCTTCCCATCCACAAAGCTTTCTCAATTCAAAATGTCTGGAGTAGCATTGAGTTCCAAGCTTTATAGAGTCGCCCAACAAAAGCCTTGTTGTGGCTTAGAAAACATGCAAATTGTACCGAAAACAGGTCCACCCCTTTGTAATGGGGAGTCATTAAGGTCATTGTTGGACTGCAGAGTTTGTGTTAGAGATTGCATCATTCTTATGTTTGCAGCACGTTTGTACCTGTCAGCCATACTTATGCTGTGAATATCAGTATGTGGTCTCCAGAGCAGATGTATAATAAGAATTAGGTTTGCAGGGTGCAAAGTTAACGTCATTGCTGCTTCTGCTGCTCTCAGGTAAAGTAGATCTCTAGAACTGCCGAGTGACTGTTGTTTCCAGTAATGTAGATAGATGTTCATCAGGATGGTGGTTTTAGCTGCAGTTTCTTCCTCATTGCTGCCTTGGAAACGTTAAAGCTGTTTCCTCTGGCTTAGGTTCTGCTTTCTTATGCTTCCATGTGGATGTCGGACCCTAGGCTGAACCCTTTAGTCTTGGGCTTGTTTACACCAGAACTTGTAAACCGGGCTCGGTGCACACTGCCTTGGAGTGGGTCGTTTCCCGATCAGCCCATAAATTGTGTTTTAGCCTGCAGGCACTGACGACAGCGGCACATTCCTGACAGGGAATCACATCCCCTCACATCCATATAAGGCGTGGAGCATAAACCTTTAAATTGTTTCTTGAGCGCAAGGCGCTGAAGACCAGAGTCGGATCGGTGCTTCGCCATGGTGACGTGTCACAGTGTTCCTAAAATAGAAGCAGAAGAAGAAGAGATGTTTTTTTTTTTTTTTTTATCCAAATAGACATGCTGGCTGTTACGTAACAGGACTGAACTGCATCGTGGCCATCTGCTATCATAACGGTGGGGGGGCAGTCCAGAGGATTTTTTTACTGGGTTTTAATAGAGTTCAATGTTGGATGCATGGAGCAGCTGCCATGACAACCAAGGCCTGACAGGCAAGCAGACCCTACAGAAAAACCTCACCTCCTCCTCTTCAGGTTAGGATGTGGCCCCATCAGACCTCATCATCAGCTGCTCTCCTCCACATTGTGCAAGCGGTGATGCTAACGCAGATCAGGAGTTACTGCAGGTCATGTTGAGCTGAAGACGGTCAGACTAAAGGATCGTTGGGGTTGATTCATGACTGGAACGCTGGCTCTGCTCCGTGATGTGCCTTAAGGCCTCCTCTCTGAGCCGCAAAAGGTTCCCTGTTGGATTCACTGGTTCCCTGTCCCTGCGGCAGCAGCAGAAAACTTTCTCTTAACTAATTCTGAGCAAAGTCAGATATTCAGACAGGAACTACCAAAGTCTAGAATATAAAAACTTTCAGGTCTTGCTTTGGAAGGAGGAAGTTTTCTGGGGATTTTTTTTTTTCATAAAAGACGTTCAGAGTAAATATGTTAAGTAAATAATACAATGTTTTTCTAAGAGCTTTGAACCTAAAATGAAGAAGTGGGCAGAACTTTAGGTGTTTGACAGCCGTTTGGTGAATGCATCACTGACTTTAGTTCAGTCTTTTCCCATAAACGCCGCGGTCGGCTCCATCGGGTCTGCTCCGGGTGTGCAGTGTTTAGACAGAGCCAGATTGATCCTCCAGCCAGCCCAGCTTCCCCGCTCCTGTCCACTGCTCCCTGCTTTCTTTACTATCAATCCTCAGCTCTGGAGCTGAAACGCTTTCTGTTTGACAAGGTTTCAGTCGTCCGGCGGGTTTGTTTGACATATTTTTACACCAGCTGCCGTCGCGATGCGCTGATGTAATGTGGATGCTGCAGCTTCAGGTTGTTTTCTGGGAAATATCAGGCGGCTATTCTTATCCTGGTGAAATAAAACAAGGCATCTGGATTTACCACCGCACTCCAAATCAACCCAAACACGACGTCGTTGGCTTGTTGTAGAGAAAGAATAAAAGCCATGAGATCTGTTTATTATTTTCTTTTCAATTTACACAACCTATAAAAAACGCTCATCAACAAATGTCTTGGAAAGGCTCTTTAAGCTGCATACCTTCCATTTGAGTCTTGGTTTTCTTACAGGGCAGTCAAATCCAGTTTATTATCCCATTTGGTTAAAGGTTATCAAAGGAAGCTCTGCACTTTACAGCAATACCTCCTCCTTAACAGGAATGTGGCGACACTAGAGAGGAACATCTCTTAAAAAAAAAAATCCTTTCAAAATCTTAAAAAAAAAAAAAAAAGCAAGAATCAGTGTGAGCAGGTTAATCCAAAATAACAAAGTAATATTACATATTAGGAAATCCAACAAGTTCAAAGGACAAGTTTGGTCTCTCTGCCCTGAAGCATCCTGTGTGTCGCTTTAGAGAACACAGACAAGTTTTTCCTTTTTGGCCCAAAACCAGGGAAGTTAACCAGCCCAGTCTCATCCCCAGAGCCCCCAGTAAGCTTTATTTGAAACACATATTATTTATTTATTGAAATAAAATGTCCATAATGTGAATTTTTTGTCTTTTATTTGAAATCTTCTTGTCTTTTTGCTGTTTTTTTTTTTTTTAAACCAATAAAAACTTTATTTTAAGGCCTGCAGATATGAAAACATACACCATCGGATGGAAACAAAATAGCCTCATATGCTGTCTTTAAACTCAAACCTGCCTGTTAAATGATTTAAATGGAATTAAAAGCACTTTAATAAATCAGTACCTGATATTAACTGTATAGGAATTTTTTTTTTCACTAAAACAGATATTTTATGCCCACATATTTACCTCCTAGAACGAGATCAACATGTAGATGTAGCTTCCTGCATTTATACATTTATTATGAATAAAATTCAGAAGTATTAGATTTTAGAGAAATAATTTTAGATCACTAATAAGAATAATGGATACATGTTATGTGGATGCTTTTATTCTCAGGTAAAAAACGGGGCTTCTTCAGGGGGAAGCATTTAGTATAAAAGCACTTAATGATTTATCTAGACTTTAATGTCTTTTTTCTATGGCCACCAGAAATATGTTTTTTTTTCCTACTAATTGATAAGTTTGGTGTTTCAATTGCTGGCGGATAATCCAAACATTAATGTTCAGAAATCAGTAAACTTTTTTTTTTTTTGTCTCGATTTGCTGGATCTTGGTTTTAAACCAGATCATCGGTTTCTAAACTCGTTAAATAAGAACCTAGTTCATCAGCTGGGTAATTTGAATGATCTACAGCAGAATTCAGGCCTTAAGTGTCGCAGATTTTGGTAAAAGCTTGAGAGGTTTCAGAAATATGTCCAATAGATAATAAGCTACTTTAGTGATTTGTGGAAGATGCAGAGAATAAAAACCCAAACCATGTAGCCGTTTTGCGCTCAGACATCCTGAATGTAATACCAACTAAAATGAATAGAAAATTGTCAGGAACTCATTGCTTTTTCCAAAAATGTTCAGTTCAGTTAACAAAAAATATCTAAATTTTATATGGGAAAAAAAAAACATTTCAATATAGATGCTGCTGTGGTTCTGAGCTCACTGGTTAATTAAACCTAAAGTTCTCATGGAGCTGCTTCTCTCTCAGCTCGGTGAGATTCTGCTGACCTTGGCACAGTCACAGCCTAAGGTGCTGAGCTTTGAATGAGCCCCCCCCCAACTGACAAAGGCCGCTATGTTTCCATTGTGTGTTTGTCATCAGCTATTTACCAGCTTCTGCTTTGGTCTGTCACTCGTTTCCTATAGGTGTACAGTGCCACACTAAAAGAGTCTAGGAACTTAACATTCACCTGAACTGCAAAATTGATCTAGAAATAAGTTAAAATTTCTTGAATTAAGTGTATTTGCCCTTAATTTAAGTGGGTAAATATGATGATTTGCCAATGAAATTAGTCTCTTTACTCTTAAAATAAGATAATTAGATAATGTGAACTTGAAATAAGACAATGCAATTAAATTAAATAATTATTTTAAATGTAAATGGTCTTGTTCCATTGGCAAAGTGTCTCACTTTCGTGCCGATTTGGAGAAAATATGCACTTATTTTAAGTAAAAATATCTTAATTAGATTTTCATTTTTTGCAGTGTCTGCTCAGAGCTCAATACCACATAACCAGCAGTAAGGTGAACTTGACCTCTGAATAAACCTGCAGCTAGAATGATCCTTAGACAGTTTGAGCATCTCTGTGTTTCAGTGTTTGTTTCGCTGCAGTTCCAACGATGTCAGACGGGGGCAGTGGCATCAACATAAATAAATAAGCCATTAAATCCTGGGATACTTTTTCATTGCTTCGCTCTGCCTTTAAGATAAGACATTGATCTAAACCGTGTATGTTTTACTATTTAGGTTATATCCTCTTCCGTTTTTATTGAAAATTCACTTCATTTTTTTTAACAGCTTCTGCTGTTTGCTTTTGTTAAATAAATAATGACTCACATTGGATGTCCTGGTTTCCTTACGGTTTATATTTGCCTCGCTGGAATCACACGTAAGGAGCAGATGACTGTTTATGCATGATGAAGCCTACTGGCTGCTGTTTATTCCTGTCAGGAACTCTCCCCTACAGGAAGTGATGTAAGACAGGGTTTCTGTTGCCGTCTGTTAGAGATAAGACAGAAGGAGGCCAAGCTTCAGAAGAAGCCGTGGTCTCATCAGACTCTAAATGCTACTGTTGTGGTTCGCTGCTGGGAGACCCTTAATGGATGACGGGAGGACCTGATGACTCCTTAATGACGGGTGTTTGGGCGCGCAGTTTGTCTTCAAACTCTGTTGCAAAACATGGTAGGGTGTCACTCATGCAGTCGTGTGACTTTAAAGAGCATGAGTTGGTATACACCAAATGGGAAGGAGGTGGGGGAAAAACACAGAAAAAAGGCAGGTGATGCATGACTGTGTTTGTTTTTTAGAGCTTGCATTAAGTCTCATCTGCCTGTCATATGAGTCAGGTTTTACCAACCAGTTACCAGCCGACGCAACAGAGGGTGCAAATCATTAACTCTATATTGAAAACACTTTTACTTTGGTTCCACTACAGTCTCTATTATAAATGGCTGAAATGTAAGAATCTGGGAAGAATCGGGAGAAAATGGGAAACAAAAACGCGCCGATCCCATTTTTCCTGCCAGAGATCAGGTTTCCCGTGTGACAGGTAATGATCCGTTGTTAACAAATAAAGGAGAAAGGTGTGCTGCATGGTATTTTAAAATGAAAGAATTGCATATTTGAACCCTTTTGAGGCTCCGTAATCACTAAGGAATTTTATTATTTAAGGAAACAATTAGGAGATTATTATTGAACTAATATTTACCTTCATTTTTTATTTCAATATGTTTACTTTAAATCAATGAGTGCAAAGTTTGTCATACAATTGATAAATAAAGTTAGATCTTAACAATAAAAAGTGATCTTTTTAAGGATGACAATATTGAGACCTCTAGATAGGCAGTAATGGGAAGTAAAAATATTAGTAAAAACACAAGTTTCTCTAGTTCCTCACTGGGTCAAAATGAGACAATTCACTTAAAAACATAAAATCAAACATTTAAACAAAAAATAGGGAAATGTTCTTTCAAAGTACTTTCAGTCAATTATAATGCGTTACTTTATAAGACATGAAATGACAAGTTTGCAATCAGAGTTCGATCAGTTAAATCACCTTTAAATGACTATTAAACAGATGAGGATAATATCATAAGTTCTCTACTTTCTGATTTAGAAGTCGATCATTAATTTCCACTATCTAATAGTTTTTATACTGAAAAAAAATGCAACTATAAAAAAAATAGTATTAAAAAATGGTAATCTTAAGTACCGGTATATAATCTGTAGAATAAAAGATTACTTCAGTTCAGTCTATCGTAATTTATAACAAATTTACCTTTCATTTCTTTTCAGTTATAGTAATCTCAAAAACTAAACTCATTGAACAAGGATTTGGTTTTAATTAAAATAAAACCTTCATACTATTTTATGTATAGTGTTTAATCTCTAAAAAAAATGTATATTGATAACAGACGTCGATGTTATCATTTAAACCCCATAAAGTTCATATTTTTCTCTACAGAAAGTGTTTAATAGTAAAGATGACACTAGTGGTTCACATCATCTGTGGAGAACAACAGACTGTGCTGTAAAATGTTTGATTTATTCATTTTGGCAGGAAAATCGGGGGGAAAAGTTCTCTGCAAGGCACCAGTGGTACAGAACAGGTTCATAAAAGGATTTTATTTATAGAATCAATGTTATTAAAACAGTTTGGAAAGCTCTCATCATAATTATAATAAATAAATGGGCTTTAAGGATCGTACTTTTTAGCTAAGATAAACGAAAATCCACTTTATGGAAGTTTCTTTACTTCTGTGAGTTTAAAAATAACTTTTGTTAGTTAGAATGAGCTAAAAAAAATTCTCGTTAACCTTCACATAAATAAGCTTAAAAAAAAGATTAAACCAAGTAAAGTTGATGCAAACCTTTGTGATTGGTTCAGAATAACTTACTGCAAAGCTTATATTGCTGACACAAAATGTAGAACAATAAATATTGTTTTTCTAGATCAAATTAATACAGGTGTAATCCTAATCTAATTTTCAAAGAGGGGTGAGGGAAGGATGTTTGAAGCCCCTGAGCTCCCCTCTGCTTCTGGAAGGAGCAGAAAGCCACGCCTCCTATACAGCAGAGACCTTTTACTTAAACTGGATGTATGCTTGATGCGTCTGTGAGGTTTGCACGCACAAATTGCATCATTTCAACGCCTGTGTGCGGTCTGAATATCTACACCGCACACCTAGAACAATTTGTAACCACGCAGATGGCTCCACATGGAAAAAACATGGAGGACGAGCGCAGCTCCTTATGATTGAGCCTATAACTCTTACAAAAGAAATTACTGCCATTCTTAAAAGACTCAAAAAGGCTATGTATGTTGATTGACATCTCAAGGGAGGGACCGCAGTTAATTGTTGAACAACTATCTGCTTCACAGTGTCGCAATATGTAATTTGTAAGAGCCCTACACAATCTTTTACACCTATGGCCTACAGGGGGAACGGGCAGACTTGGAGGAGGGACCCTTTATAAAAACTGCACTGGGGCCAAAATGGCTAACTCCGCCCACTGGCTATACAAACTGAACAGAAAGGTGGTTAGTAGTTTTAAGGCATTTGATTTAAAGGACTGGGATTACTTACTTACACTATAACAAATGGAGATAAAAAACGGTGAGGAGGGACAGAAGAAAGGAATTAAAGAAAAATGGTGCTACAAGGAGAACACAAAAGGTACATGCGGGAAAAACAGTTGATTAATTATTTCCATTCATATTTACATTTCTCCTCCCTCCTTTTTATGAACTATTCCTTAAACTCTGCGCACCAAACCTATAAAAAAGCAGCTAAAATTCCAAGAATTTATTAATAATTAGGTTATTCCTGTTTGCTGCTGATGCCTGTGATGTAAATGACTGCAGATCCTTGACTACCTACGAGTCGATCTGGGGAAAACTGGCCTGTTCTGATCTCTGCTTAGCTTTGCTAACATCTAAAGGAATACATAGTCCATCTTCTCCCCTTTTTTTATCAGATGAGAGGATTTGCTCTCCTCCATTCATGGTCCTGAACACGGAGTGCACCCCGGACGTACTGGAGCAGATCAAGCTGCAGGGTCTCACATTCCCCTTCAGTGAGTGGAGCCATCTTTTATCCAGAGATCTGCTTTCATCTGTAAATCCTAAAGGCCTGTTTGAGTTCTGACCCTCTGATTTTTCTCTACAGTTTGTAAAACCCGTGTGGCTCATGGCACCAACTCCCATGAGGTGAGAAGCTGCACACGCTGCACTTCCTGTAGATAGAGCATGACCCGTCACAGGATTGTCCATTAACTCAACTCAAACACCAGAATCAGATAAATGTGTCATCATAATGTCGGCTGAATCCAGCACCACAAACATTCATCATCCCAGGTCTCAAACAGCGCTGATGTGAGTTAAGGTTTAACCGAGTTCAGCAGCGTCTTTCCTCTGTCCACAGATGGCCATTATCTTCAGTGAAGAGGACATGAAGGATGTGAAGCCCCCGTGTGTGATCCAGAGCTTCATCAACCACAACGCCGTGCTGTACAAGGTGTTTGTGGTGGGAGAGTCCTACACTGTGGTGGAGAGGCCCTCCCTGAAGAACTTCCCTGCTGGCCCTGCAGGTGAGCAACGGCTGAGGAGTCTGGAGGCTGCACACATCCTCATCGGTACAATCTGCTCTGCTCGTTCAGATCCCCCACTAAATTGCTCATAAAACAGCTCTAATGTCCCTGTAATCAGACCTGATGGCCTTTTAAGGGCTGCAGCAGGTTTCCGTCCTGCTCAGAGCAAACACAGCTTTTCGTCCTCAGTGCAGCGCAATGCTGTGCTTCGGACGGACGACTTCAGGATTTTCATGTTGCAGAGTAGAAGCCCTCATGCAAAGCGTTTTCAACTGCAGTGTAGTAAGCTGCTTTGCTTATCTTTGCAAAGCAACAGTTACTTTGTGCAGGAAAATGATCCACGTCAGACAGCTGAAGCAGGATCCCACAGAGGTGCATCCTGGATCAGGGAGCTCCACAGGGCAGCGTGGGGGCCACTCACAGCCCCCAAATAGTTTTATAATTGGCAGATTTGGTACCTTATGAAAATGTTTACTTTGAAATAGTTTTAAACTATTTTGGCAAACATAAATATACCTAAATTAGGGTACAAGAAAAAATTGTCTGCCTTTAACCACTTTTAAAAAAATAAATACACCCACTCAAACGAGACCTGGGTGCATCTATTCATTAAAATGCACAATGTGGTTTTATTTTTTAGTGAAACCAAAATAGCCACAACAAACAATAAATTAGATCAAATGTAAGTTTTTTTTGTGAGAATAATCAAGGTTCTGTTTTTATTCTTTAAATTCATAAATGTAAAATTTCTCAAACAAAATCTGATTTTATAAAAAGAAAAAGTATTCTAAAATAATTTCTTTTTGTTCTCTACTTGAGGTTTTTGGACGTCAGGTTTAGCCGTGTAAGATTAAATGTCATGGTTGGTCTAGACAGTAAGCCCATACTAAAGTGGCCCCTTTGTGCGTTTTTTTTATTTTCTTATTTTTTTTTTTATGACTGAAAAACCAGAATGCTAAGAGGTTAAAAGTAAATTTTACATGCGAGGTAAATCAAAGACTAAGCAGTCCAGTCCAGCATAAATACATTTAAAACTGATGCCTTTAACTTTCAGAGTTTTGTTTCAGAGTTGGCTGTTTGACTCATGTAACTGCAGACCTTTGCTGCCACCTACAGGCCATGATGTGAAACTTACCCTCCTTCTGTTTTTCATGATATTTATTTTTTTCCATTTTCAGAAAGGAAAGCCATTTTCTTCAACAGCCACAACGTCTCCAAACCCGAGTCGTCCTCAGACCTGACCTCGGTGGGTCCCAGATATCATCAACAGCTCCTCTGTTAATGTTTCTATTAGTTTTTGCTTAAACGTTTATCATGTTGACCTCAGAGAGAGAACGTGGAGGGGGTGTCCCAACCGCCCTGCGATGATGTCATCAGGGAGTTGTCCAGGTCACTGCGGCAGGCTCTGGGCGTGTCACTATTCGGCATCGACGTCATCATCAATAATCAGACGGGTCAGCACGCCGTCATCGACATCAACGCGTTTCCCGGTACGTGTGGGACTCGTTTGGCGGAAAGGCGGGTTCTGTTGGTCTAAATCGTCTCTGTTTGGTTGTTTGCTCCGGAGCCGGAACCCTGTTTAGCTTGAGCCCCGTTGGTTCATGGCAACCGTGTGCTCTGGTGTGTGTCTCAGTCTGCGTGCGTAAAACTCATGGCCTTCTGTCACTTCTGGAATCCTGAGCTATTTTGGATCTTAATGGAGACAACCCAGAGCTGCAGCGTTGCTCTGAACCAGGCAGCCTCAGAGTTTGGGTTAGGTTTGAATTTACCAATCCACCTAATATTTTAGCAGACCTGAGTTGCACAGCATTGATAATTAATACAGATCTACAGTAGCTCAGATTTCATTACAGAATTAAAGTGTCTTCATTGCAAAACTAATAAATCAGAGTGGAAGGATTAGGGGTGAGGAAGTTGACAGCTTCATCCAGCAGAGAAGGAAAAATACTGTTAAACCAAGCTCCACCAAACGGAAGGCTGTAGTTTCTTTTTTTCCTCAGGATGTCAACGTTAACTGTAATTTATGAAATACATTTCAGAATCCTTCCGGGATTTCGTGGTAAACTGAGTTTTACTGAGTTTCTGAGCTGAGTTTGAAAAAAATTTAAATGAGATTACAAATATGAGAAAAAAAATGAAGGATATACGGTAAGAAAAGCAAGTGAGAAGGGAAACAAGAAAGGGAAGGAATGAAGGAAAGATGGAATATCATGAGGTGAAAACAAACGACACATGTAAGGGAAATAAAAAAACTTGATTATTTGCGTACTGTAAATTTTTCTTATGCATTATTCCTTGTGATGTCTATGCATTGATGCATCGAACTTTTAACAAAGCAGCTGGATTTTTGATGTCCCATCAAAAGAGAAAATGTGTTTTACGGTTTAAATCAAAACTGTTTAGTCTTTCTACTGTGTTCCTGAACGCACCTCCATGTTTCCAGGCTACGAAGGTGTCCCGGAGTTCTTCAACGACCTGCTGAGCCACATCAGCAGCATCCTGCAGAGCCATAACCCCGACTTTGCTCAAGGTGCCGAGCAGCCCAACGGCTTAGCGGTGAGCGGTGGTGGCGCCGCCCCTCAGGCCCCCTGCAACAGCGTGCGAGGGAAAGAGCTACAGAGACTGGGCTGCAACTCAGCTGTGTCTCCCAACTTCCAGCAGCACTGCGTCTCTACGATAGCAACAAAGGCCTCCTCCCAATGACTGAGCCCGGCCCGGCCCGGCCCGCTTGATTCCATAACAAGTAAATCACAGTGGTGACAGTAATAATAATAATAACAACGACGAATAATAATCAGTAATTAATGATGTTAATAATGTATCTAATCAACGATAGGCCTTTTCCTCTGTGGTTACTGAAACTGTTGGTGATTGGGTGTAAGCTTCCTTCCCCTTTTTGTACATTTGGTTCTGTCTGATAAGACAGTCTCAGTACTGTAACGTGAGCCTTTGGGAACCTAAAAGCTGATTTCACTTTTCTCCCTTTTGGGATCTCTGTAAAGAAAGGGTCCAGATGAGGTAGCAAACGGGGACAGCCTGATCCAAGCTGGAGAAACTTTCAGACTGAAGCACATCCACCAATCAACAGGTCCTGCTCCTGTGGGCTTGTTCTCGGGTCAGAACCGCTCTGTGGAAGTGAAAGGGAAGAAGAGACGGCATTCCAGCATCGCTCCACAGATCCCAGGCTGCTGCAGATTGAAGCCGGCTGATTGCCGGGGACTTTGGGGTCAGATCGAGTTTAGTTGGAACCAGTGTGAGCGGTTTGTCTCTCCAAGTGCCATGAAATAAGTTTTTTGGTGAGAGAAACGTAAACATCCATGATCACATGACCAAGTTTTCCACAGCCGTTTGGCTGTTTTCCTTCTCATTAGCTCCAGATGTTTGATGTCCAACAAACGGCATCTGAGCGTCAGCTCGGTTCTCTGCGACCACATTCCCCTTTTTTTTAATGACTGCAGAGAAATTCCAGGAGTTTTTCCAATATTCTCCTTAAACAGCCATGTCACTTTAAACCATTTTTTTTAAGTCCTAAACATTTGAAGGTTGAATAGATCTAAGGCACCCAGAGAAACGAGGGGAAATTGGTAGTTTTCCCGTCTTTTATCCTCTTTTGCAGATCTCCAGTCAGTCGCTTCGCTCTGAGCTCAAACCTGACCCGTCTCCTCTTCCAGCTGCTGTATCCATGATGGGATGTCCAGCTCTTGTTCCCAATGTTCACTCTGATTTTTTTTTTTTACTCCAGCTTGTTTATACTTTTGTCTTAACATCTAATGAGAGTAACTTTATTTTATTGAGATTTTATGGGAAAATGTTTTATATAAATAATATGAGAGCAGTAATGTTTTTGAACATGTGGATATTTTACAGTAAAACGGCTCGCATGTTGATCAAAATGAAAGCAGCACTGCTGTTCAGTCTGTAAATGATTGCATTCCTCTGAGCCTGCCTCTTAAATCTCAGAGATCATTCCTTCTGGTTTCTCCACTTAAGCAATTGTCGTTGAAATCAGATTGGGTTGACATCAGGTTCAGGAGAATGTAATGCATCCCCGTTTTAACGGGGAAAGGCTGATATCCGTACATGGCGCTGTGCTCCTCCCTTCTCTGCTTCATTCTGATTTTAGAAAATAACCTGAGATTCATACCATTTCCTGCTCCCACTTTCACCTCAATGTTTACTTCTTGGGTGTCTTATATGTTTATATGCACCGAGGCTAAATTCCGTATAGTATGTTTTGTAAGAGTTCTGTAATTAAGATCCATAATTTTGACCTTTTTTTAATTAAAGGGCCAGTTCAACCGGCAAAATAAACATGTGAAACCTCCTTTGTCTGATGCCTGATTTTTAATCTACTAGGTTAGAAACTCTTTAGGTCAGGGAGCTTCAATATTTTTCATTTTTAATAGAATTTTTTTTAATATCAAACATCAAGCACTTCTGTTCTCCACCCTCCAGATGTTTATTTCATCACCAAGTTCATGAGACAGGAGAACTTTCCCACCAGCTATTTGAGACACTATACAATGTTAGAAAAATAAAATCTTTTCATAATCAGTCTTCTTTACAGGTAAAAACAGACAACACACATATAATATTTACAGCCCCAGCAGAGCTAACGTTCTGAAGGTCCCTAATGCTAATGCGGTTCTCTGCAGCCGGCGGGTTGACGAGATGTCGTCGGGTTCGCCAACAGTCCGAGGATGGTGGAGAGGCAGTGCAGCTTCTCCTTGACGTGCTCTGGGAGCTTCTCGTTCTCCTTGTACCTGCAGACGAGACGCGGCGGGTTAGAAGCTGGAACAGGAAATAGTTCAATAGAGAAATCATCAGGGAGCTCCAGCTGGAGGTTAGGGTACAACAGGTCATATATTAGGTTGACTTTTATTATGGTACAGCCACTATTGTTAGGGAGAAAAAAAACACATTGCCTATTTTTTACTAAATATAACCTTAAACTAACAGAAAGGGAGGCGGGTACATTTAAAGCCGCTGCTGCATCCCTGCTTCCCCTTCCTGATAACGAAACAGTCCCTATAGTTACCTGGTGATCCTGCCTTCTGCAGACGTGTAAGAGATGCAGGAAACCCCTGCCTGGACCACCAGCTGAGATCCATCGTTGAACTGGACCCACACCTCTCCACTAGTCAGCTTCAGCAGCAGCAGAAAAAAACAAAAACAGCCATTTATGAACAGATTCAGCCTTCGGCCGGTCAGTGTTCAGACGGTTCTGTAATCATTTACCTGTGATGCCCATCCAACATTAGGCACAAAGATTGACTTGACCACCTTTCCTGCGCTCTGAACCAAATCCTGTCGGACCGGAGAGCTCTTCTTGCTCATGCTGGCTGAGGTGAAATCTGACCCGTCGTAGGAAATCATCTGCAATCAAATAATGGATCAAACAGAAATCCAATAACACAAACATCCCCTGAGCACATAGGTGGTCAGTCAGCAGGCCTGCAAGTGCTGCAGTACCACGCAGGACTCTTAATAGATGATGAAGGAATAAAAAACGTCTGATTTTCAGTTTAAAGTAAACTGTCATAATGGGTTTCTGATGCTGATGAAAGAGAAAGGATAGCCACATAAAGAACAGCAGGCAAAGACGAAGGTCAGATTATTGTCAGAGTAGTTTTTTTCATAGTAAAAAAAGCCTTTTATGCCCTTAAAAGAGAAAAACAAAATGTTTTCTATCTGAGGGATATCCAGATGCAGAACTCCCATCATCCTTTTAATGTGAACTGGCTCTTGTCTATTTAAGGCTGGGAGTCTTACTGAAGGAGTGAACTGCGGCGGTTTAGGAGGTGTTGCTGAATCAGGAGGGGTCTGCTGTGATGGATCCGATGCGGAGGAGGGAGCCTCGGAGCTGGTCGGTCTCCTGCACAGGTTAACACAAATTATCACATCTTGGTTAAGGGAGAAAAATAATCTCCTTACACATAAAACAGAACGTCTCTCTCAGTACCTGCCGATAGTGATCGGGAAGAAGGGGACTTTCTTGGTGCTTCGCTGCTCCTCCGCAGTGATGGCGGCCTCTAGTGACAAACACATGCTGTGGCCCTCGTCGGACAGCTCCACATAAAACCTGCTCTCAGGGCTCAGGCCACTCAGACCCACTTCTCCCTTCACGGTATACGACTTCCCACTCTTTTCCACCACTCGCACCAATTCAGAGGTCTTGTGGGTTTTTGCTCCTGAAAAATGACAGCATCAGTTCAGCTCTTCTCCACAGCGCTGAGCTCTCCACATCTGCCAAACATCTGGGGCTCACCATCATAGAAACAGACTTCCAGGTCTGCATCAGGTGAGTTCTCCATCAGCATGACTTTGGCGTACTTGGTGTAAAGAGTCACTTTAGGGGTTTTGGATTTCACGAGCTGCACAAACTTGGAGGCATACTGGTACTTTTTCCAGTATTTTTCTGCAACACAAAGGTTAATCAAGTAAGTTATTAACATATAAGTTTTTCTAAATAAATTTAGCTCTGATAAGAATTTAACATTTTATATATTGCAAACTAAAAATAATTAAAAATCTGCTAACATCTACCAGGATGAGGATGAAACAAGGTCTGACCTTTCAGTAATACATGATTAATAACACAGACCCAAAAAACTCATAGCACGTTTAAAATATACGTTAAAAGAATAGGTTATTATTGTTAATTAATTATTATTTTTCCCACTGTCATGAAGTATGCTTCATGACTAGTTTCTGATAATCAGGAAGCCTCTCTAATTACCTGGAAGGTCATCATAGCTGCAGATGAGAATATCCTCCGGAGGCGCTGGTGGGCAGTCCAGCACCGGAAACCCCTTCCCACCATTTGGTTGGTATATTGTTACCTACAACAATAGCACTGTTTTAGAAATGTTGCTTCAGAAAGGTTCCTTCTGTGTGCGGCGAGGTGTGCGTCATGTGACGTACCATAGAGCCGTCACAGGAGATACGCAGGACTTCTTTTACCCTTTCTTGCCCATTCTGGGATTTTAGAAGCTCCATGCAGACTTCCCCTGTGTCTAGGATGCTCACCTAAGAAAGAAAAAAAAAGAAAACAGATGACTGAGCATGTGTATGCATTAACAATTACACCACAAGTATGAAAAAGAAAGGGAATTATATCCTACAACTGCATTTTTGGTTTTCTGCCTGATGGGCTTCAGTCTGTAGGCGCACAGAGGAGGCACAACATCTCTCAGTGTCTTCTTCTGCTTCTCCCCTCTGGGTTTGGCTGGAAGGGGCTTTTGCTCCCTGCTGTGAGGAGGCTGGAAATCTGTTCCTGGTGTGATCTCCCGGGATGACTCGGGATACAGGTGCTGCTGACCTCGGCCCATGGGTTCGGACCAGGAGCTGTGAACCCCTGATTGCCCTCTGCTGTGGAAGCTGCCGCCGCTGCTGTCTGCGGGTCTTGGCCCCGAACCTGAGGCAGAGACAACACTTTAACCTGACAATCCGAGGCCCCTGATGAACTTCTACTAAGAATTATGACTTTGATTGGTTCTAATATTTGCAAAGAAAGTCAAAAACTGTTAAAATATTAGTCAGAGCCTGGATCTAGCACACACTTATTAAAAAGCAAAAATGTACCCTCACTGTTGAGCCAGTTAGAAACTCCCTCGAAGTCCTGATACTGGGAGGTTGGTGGATGAACCATCTGAGCTGACAGAAAGGCTGAGCTGAAACACAAAGTGAAAGCCTGTAATAAAGCTCCATCTGAGACCCGAGGAGAAGATTAGTTTAACAAAAGGAGGACCTACTGTTTAACTGGAGGGGAGGGAAGCCTGCAATGATCTGAAAAAGAATGAGGAGTGGACGACGAGGGGAAGAAGGGCCGTCCTAAAGCAGACAGAGTCTCCTCTGAATGACATCTCCCGAGCTCATGCTGCGAGGAGGTTTGTCCTGATTCTGCAGAACTGCAGCGTTCTGATGAGTGAGCCCTCCTGAGGAACCTGGAATACGGCTGTCCACTCTCACCAACGTGATTGTCCCGCCGCCTGCCCTCCCTGCAGAAGCTGTCTGGTGGGTACTGCTGGTGCAGCTGGTCT